GGAACAAAGACGAATCTCAGAAGGTACATATACCGGAACCAGAAGAGGAGGCAAGCTCAAGTGGCAAACCCGAATCTACGTCCGAGACCACTGAACCAACGCGCATAAGTAAGTTAACTACTGAAAACACTGATCTTAAGAATCAGTCAGCCTCCCTTATGAAAGGCATGACTGTTGAATATGTAGATCAAATGTATGGATCAGGGAAAACATGCACAGCACTTACGCGAGCATGTTTCTCCGGGCACTACTGAAGCCCTACAGAAGTGGACAGAACGTCGACTGGTAATTACGCCCGAAAAGCGTAAGGGCCTGAGCGCTACACCTGTGGCAGTTGAACCAGATGTGCTCAGTGTATCTATATCTTACGAGGTACTATCACCAGAACTCCAGGCTAATTATTCGCCTGTTCTAACGCCCGGCCATGAGTCGCCCGTCCTTGAGGGTATTATAGACCCAGAGGCAGGTAAAATTACTCCGCTAACTTTACCCAACTGGGATGACAATCGTCGGAAACCAGTTAAGACTGGGTATGTCATCCAGACGCATGAATCACCCAAGATTATAATACCAACTACTATCCAAGGAACAGAGCACAGAAAGGCCTCGACCATGGACTTTACAAGGAGTAATAAACACCCCCGTAAACGTGTTAACGATGTCGAATTTAATCGCTTCAATCGCACCGCATTACACCAGCCCGCAGAGGATTTCCACTCTGACGAGGTGACCGAACTTAATAAATCGGTCGACGATTACACCATTAAGATGGAAATCGCCCATGACGAGCACCGTGCTGATGGCGTATCATATTTTGCTAATATGATCGCGATCAAGCAGAAGCGCATCGATCAGTTACTTCAGGCCCAACGTGGGCAAGACCTCCGGGATAACCAGAAGTACGAGGGACAGATCAGACGACTTAAGTCGAACTGGGATGCCAACAGCAAGCAGGTTGAGTTTATAAACAACCATGACCTCGACACGCTGACACGGTCATGATGGAGACGAATGATATCGCTCCCCAGCAATGGATTTCTGCTTTAATGCAATCGTTTGACCCTACAGGAACAAGTTACTTGATCCTGCAGCGACACCAGCATGAGCTAGACACTTGTCGTGACTGGCCAGCTGTATGTTGGTTGGTTACGTCCTTATTAAGCAAAGACATGCGCAGTCCAGGACTGAGTTCAATCTTAACTGAACCAGTTGAGAATACTCCTATTCAGAGTTACATTCTGAAACTTGATGCTGACCTTAAACGTCCAGATATAACAAAGGACAAGGCATAGCGGTGGTACGAGTTCCTGGCTATGCATGTTTTCTGTAAGAACATAGGGAACAACGACCGTGAAAGTCTGTACACCGAGTTGCGACGTAAATACGCAACTGAGGCTCGAGACAAGGAACATGAGACAAAGTTTCAACTATCCCGACTTACGTGGGAACAGTTTTATGATACTGTATCCACTCTTTTCCCCGCACGCCGAGTAACCTCAAAGGGACAGGCGGTAAATAAGAAACCGCGCGAGCTCCCTGATCAAGGATACCTCTACACCAGACGTCAGATGATAAACCTCATCAGACGCGTCCTAACCAGACACGTACTCGCGACTCCACTCAATCAACGCGACCCAATAAACGGGCACGCGCGGAGACGAAGGACAAGGAACTTCCATTTAAGGAGATTAAGGAATGTGCCGACGCACAGTGTGGGTATGACATGTACCAATTGACCCCTAACGGTTATTGGAATGGCAGACATGCACCCACCTGTACACACTTTCTTACTAAGTGTGACAAGTGTGAGAAGACCAATGGCTACAACGCCAAGTCTTGCGACAAAAAGCCCGACATAAGTTGGAGTAAAAGTACTATCACGTACAATCGTTACAAAGAAAATACAACGACTCCTTAGATGAGCGTGTAGTAATCCCTGTATATTGCAACGGAAATAAAGTCCTTGCATTGATTGATCCTGGTTCAGAAATTTCATGTATATCCGACCGCTTTGCATTAATGGATGACATTGAATGGCGAACTCAAAGTACTCACCTAATTTTAGCAGATGATAAAACTTCTAAGTGTGATACCATGGCCACAGATGTTAAAATCTCCCTGGCCGATGATAGAAATATCACGACTCAAGCTGTGACAGTTAAGATGTCACAGAAGTACGACTTAATAGTCGGAATGAGTGATTTACTCACTCTAGGTATAACCGTAACAGGCTTACCCAACAACATAGATCCATTAAAGGATCAGTAAGACGATAATTGTCTAAAACCATATACAACACCATCGGACGCAGTCAAGGAATTAATTCCTGGCTATGCCGATAAGATAATGAATCTTATATTAGTAAATAAGAAGATAAAAATAACCGACTGGGCGAAATTCCGCTTCAACGACGGATATGTCAGCCTTGACTTAACCAAGGTAGACTTTACTAAGCTCAAATGTCCTTCAAGAAACTATGTTTCTTGGAGACACGAAGCTGTAGTTAAAGAACAAGTCGAGAAATGGTTATCCGATGGGGTAATCGAAATCAATTACCAATAAACGCAAGTTAACTTAGCATTATTGGCAGTTGATCAACACAACTCTGACGGAACATTTAAGAAAGTCAGAGTATGCCTAGATATGAGTCCAATAAATAAGTTATTGTCGACTCATAGTTTCCATCTCCTCGTATAAACGAGTTACTGAGACGAATGGAAGGTGCTACGGTAATTACATCCATAGACCTAACACAGGGGTATCATCAAATGCAAATTTATGAAATCCATCGTAAGTACTTTAGTTTTACCTGGAAAGGTAAACAATACAGGTTTAGAGGTGCACATTTCGGATTGCACTCTTTACCACAATTCTTCCAACAAGTAACGGAGGAAATGTTTGCAGACATGCCTAACGTGCAAGTCTATATAGATGACATAGTCATCTTTTCTAAGACTAAGGCGAACATGCCGCATTAGTCAGGCGAGTCCTTCAGAGACTCAACGAAAAAAAACTTCAAGATTAACGAGAAGAAATGTCACTTTGCCATGAGCGAAATACAGCTCTTAGGCTATCGTATATCTGGGGAAGGTATTAAAATCGACCCTGGTAAGGTGGAACACCTATTAGATTGGCGAACACCAACTACAGGAAGAGATGTGAACAGCATGTGTGGGGTTGTAAACTTCTTTTCAGATGGAGTACCACACTTGGCTGATTATCTTAAGCCCTTTGGACACTTAAGATGTCATAAATGCAAACTAGGAGACTTGTGGACTAAAGAGTGTGATGACGCATTTAAAGCGCTCAAGCACGCAGTCCAACAAGCCCCTGTTGTACAAGTACCAGTCGATGGCGTGCCTTTTGAAATAGCAACGGACGCATCAGACTTAGTACTCGGAGGTGTACTATACCAGGTTATAGATAATAAACCTAGGTATATACAATTCTTTAGCCGACCAATGAATGCATGACAGTTGAATTATCCAACTGTGAAGCAAGAGCTACTAGCCATAGTAGCAGCTTTAACACACTTCCGCGATTACTTATACGGAACAGCTTTTACGCTGAAGTGTGATCAGAAGTCCCTTCAATATATGAAGGAAATGAAGCCAGACTCTCAATTACTGAGCCGATGGCATGATACAATATCAAAGTTTCATTTTGATATCAAACATCTACCAGGGATACATAACCATTTACTGGATATGTTATCACGCTTCGTACCGGACTTTAATAGACTTTGCCTTCATCAGACTGACACATCTGGTTGGCTGAACGGAGGATAAACTAAGCAACGCTAATAGTCCTTAGTAACCTAGGTTCGGTTAAGCCATCTCGCTACCGAAATATTCAGATAAAAATATATTTGGAAAGTAAATATAGTTCTATTAATAGAACTAGACCAAATCTTATGTTTGGTATTTTACTGGGGCCTTTTAATGGCCTTGTCCAAATATCTGGTATGTAAAATGGTATGGGTATTAATTAATAAAACCGTTAAAACTCATTTTAAGGATAATTGAGCTTACGTACTTTTAAGAGTACGTTTTACGTACTCTGACATATCAACATATGTTTTCTATACCCCGGCTAATCACGCTGTTGTAGTACTACTTCCAAATTTCGGTCCAAACCAATTCATCGCGCCTGTTGGTTCCGCCTATGATACTTCCAATACAGGCAAACCAGCACACACCGAGTGCATCCGTGGTCTGGTGCGGTGTCGGTTCACCCCCAACCTCGCTCCTCAACCGAATTATGACGGATAACCTGGTCCTACTTGGCATTTCGTACTCTGCACTAACCCATTTCACAGCACTACACGATAAAGACCCGATACGAACCACAGAGGTGGGTACGATTTTTAGTAGGTCAGAAAGCGAATACGTGGCACACTCAATGGTGTCAGTTTTTTTGTCAGCACCGGCCTGAATTGACCCAGCGCTTATCCTCCATTGTCGACTCACTTGGTCCAAGCTTCAACAGAGAATTTACTGACCATTTCTTCCTATCGATCTTCCCCAAACCACTACAACGGCTATGAGAGCCACACCATATATACTAACATTGTAACTCCTCCATTGTCGACTCACTTGGTCCAAGCTTCAACAGGGAATTTACTGACCATCTCTTCCTATCGATCTTCCCCAAACCACTACAACGGCTATGAGAGCCACACCATATATACTAACATTGTAACTTAACTCCTTTGAAAAAAAATTATATTATCTCTATGGACATCAGGAGTATTTTCCTTTTCTCCATTCTTTTTTTTCTAGATAGGATTTTATGAGTCTCTCGGATTCGCCCCAACGAAACATACCATAGTTTCTAATAGAGCGACAACGAAACACAAAATAAAATCCCTTCGGCGAAAACAGTACTGAGAGGATTACTTATAGGCAATGTCTCAGCCTCACAATACCTCAGAGTATTGCTGTTTTCACGAGGCATACCTAACTTTACTAAACGACTCATTTCGTTTATTCATTCCGAATTTAGCTATACTTAGACTTAACCTAATCGTTTAATTAGTCTAAGGCATTAATATCGCCTTGATATACCAAAACTTACATTACGGTAGGGAGACACCTGAGGTACAGGCTTTGTACGTCCAATTTTACGTTTCACGGGGCTAATTTGGTTCATGTTGTTAGCCCCTTTGTCAGGTAACTGGCAAGTGGGTGTCGACCCTGCCTGCGTTGGGTGATGAGAAGCCCAACGTTGTTGCACTGTCGGTTCGGTCTGAGTCTCAGAAAAATCCTCATCGCCTGTCGTCTGGTCCAAGTCCTGGGGTGTAGACATGTCAATATCCGCCAGTGACAATTCACAGAGTTGGCGGACTTGCCCTTGAATTAGATGAATATTGTCCGTCGCCTCCTGCACATGCATCATCGTATTCAGGTGTCCTTCTACTTCAGAAATCCAGTTTGGGGACTGTTTAAGCTTACCCAAGGTTGTAATTGAGTATTGGCCCTCCGAAAGCAAATGTATCAATTCCAGATGGATTTCTACCTTCTTGGCATCTTCAGGTGCAGGTTTCTTGGCAAGTGCTGATTCCACCTTATTGCATAGCTCGGTTAAACGGCGAAGATTTCCAATCAACTGTCTCAACAACCGATCACAAGCTTGCTTACCCACCGTTGGCAACAGTCTAGTCTTGGGTAAAATAAAATTAAACTAAGTTGTTTCTTAGTTGATTTAACCTTCAAAGAACGTAGTATAATAAATACAGTAGTTCGGTCACTTAAAAATGTAGTCAAAACCGAGTTGCACTTGATAAAAAAAATGCTAAGTCTAAAATAAGTGAACTCGGTCAGAAGTGCCGTTAGGAACGGCGCGTCTGCTGTATTCATTAACCACGTTCTTGTGTGGGACGAGATTTTCTCTAACAACTGCAGATCGTGAAAATCTCCGTATCTAAGATTTTGGTCTCCTAGTTACTAAATAATGATGACATCCGGTAGGTCATCATTCCCTCTCACTAAATTATATATTCTATTTTCTAGTCCGGTCCTCGGGCCCGTTCCTCAATAAAATCCTCTTAGGTCCGAGACTCTGGTTCGGTCCTAAATTATTTCTCTTAGGTCCGGTCCTCTGGTCCGGTCCTAAATCTCTATCTAAGGTACTTAGTCCACAGTCCGATTATTTGCGTAAGTGTGATAGGGCGGATGTCGGCGGGGGAGGTGATATCTGCATCGGATTTTTTTTTTGGGTGCGCTGTCAGGAGGCTGCAGTTCAGGGTTGCAGGGAAGGTACCCACCTTCAGTAGCTCAGTGAATGCTTCGGCAAGGAGTCTAATCAGTGGGCTATTGGCGTCGGGGCGTCCTAGTGTCCTGCGTTCGGTGGAGCGCTCCACTGTGGCCTTCAGGAGGAGGATGTGGATCCCGTCGGGGCCAGGCCATTTATTGGGATAGCGTAGTATAGCCTCCATTGCATCGTCGGGGCGTATGGCGGAAGATACATCGGGCGAGAGTTCGGTATCCGGTGGAATCACGTACGGGATTGTAGAGTTGAATAGGTCCTCAAAGTCCACATTTACATACATTTGTAACATATCTTTTGCCTACTGTACCCCCTTGTCAACTCCACTTGTAGTTTTAATCTCTATTTTGAAACAAATAATATTGTCCCTGTCCTGAAATATCTTCATATGTATTTTGTTTTCTTCTTCAAGAAAATAGAAATACAATGCCTTATTTGGGAGGTGGCGGGTCGATCACATGCCCAATATAAATACAGTAAAATACATTGTCCATATCCGGAGGGCTGTTGAGTCATCGTTTCGGTACACATTCATATAGCACTATATAACTAAAATAATATTTACTGTCTGCTGTGTTGCCGTACTATCTATTCTGTACACTTGTGATAGCACTGGTGTTTTACATCATATAGTTTAGCTGTATATTCAGTTTAGCAGCAGATCTAGTTTAGTAGTAGCACTTAGTTTAATTAAACCATGTCGGAACGCGAACCCCTACTAGGGAATGGGTCCCTCAGAAAGAGATCCGTTGCGGAAATTTTGACCAGTGTACCACCTGGCTCAACCGTAAGTTGTTCTCGTGTGACATTTTTTTTTGGTGTTTGTTCAACCCTGCTAGGAATACTATGGCCTATAAAAAACACGTCGACAATCAGCCCATATACATGAGTCAAATTGTCCGACACTTACTTTTGTTCACACAGCAATCACTTTCAATTGAAACAGTGATACTTAAAGTTTCAGTTGGGGCGATTATATTCACCCACGTTCCTCTTGAGGATCATACGGCGTAGTTTATATTGTGGACTGAATTAAGACGGACGTGAATATATATATATAAATATATATATACACACACACACACACACACACACACACACACAC